ACATCTGACATAATGACACCTGACATAATGACACCTGACATAATGACACCTGACATAATGACATCTGACATAATGACATCTGACATAATGACATCTGACATAATGACATCTGACATGTCTTTATTATTTTCTGAGTGGAATGTTTACTGTTCATTTTGTCTTGAGAGAGAGAGAGACCAGGCCTGCTTAGAACAGCTGACAACACTAAACCAAATAACCTTGGTGCCGTCGGTTCCTTCAATTCTCCCCAAATTGGACATTCACACACTCTGTCCTCATTTCATTGTAAACTCAGGATGTGTCCCAAACGGCACTATATTCCCTATATACTGTAGTGCACTACTTTTGACCAGGGCCCAGAGGAATAGATTGCCATTTGGCACGCATTTTACAAATCTGTTTACAATTACTGCACTCAGTGCTGAGAGGGCTGCAGAGGAAAACCAAACAGAGAAATGGGCTCGTGAAGGGTTCTGTGGTAAACTCTGGGTTTCTGCTTCTGTTGCTGGCTGAGAGAACTGTAATGATCATTATTATATCTAACTATGTTGCTCAGCTGGTAGAGCACGGCGCTTGTAACGCCAAGGTAGTGGGTTCGATCCCCGGGACCACCCATACTCAACAAATTTATGCACGCATGACTGTAAGTCGCTTTGGATAAAAGCGTCTGCTAAATGGCATATTATTATTATTAACTAAATCTGCCTGACAACAGTAGGGGGGGGGGGTAACATCCTCTATTATCTAATTATCTTTATTAGATCTAACTAAATCTGCCCCGCACCAGTTGGGGGTTAAATTCCCCGAAGAAGCTTGGTTTCATCTGGATATTCTGATAGGTATCTCTGCATGTTTCTCTGCAGGATCCAATGTCTCACAGGGCGTGTCCCAAATGGTACCCTATTCCCTATATAGTGCACTACTTTAGACCAGGGAATGGCACCCTATTCCCTATATAGTGCACTACTTTAGACCAGAGAATGGCACCCTATTCCCTATATAGTGCACAACTTTAGACCAGAGAATGGCACCCTATTCCCTATATAGTGCACTACTTTAGACCAGAGAATGGCACCCTATTCCCTATATAGTGCACTACTTTAGACCAGAGAATGGCACCCTATTCCCTATATAGTGCACTACTTTAGACCAGGGACCCTATGGCTGTTTAGAGATTAGGGTGTGATTTTGAGATTCGTTTGGAAAGGAAACTAATCTACCTGAAATGTACCATCATATTTCCTATAAAACCCAGAAGATTATACAGCTGACTTTTTTTTGACACTAGCTGTGTTTTTAAAGGAGCCTGAAGTATACGATCATCTTTCCTAATAAAATCCCCAAAATTCATAGCAAACCACTTTAGCACATGCTGTTTCATAGTTCATTCAACAACCCATGGAGTTTATAATGCAGTGATAAACCCTATTCACACGGGGACTAGTATTACTAGAGAACGTTGGTTATGTAATTATTACCCCAGAATGTCCGTTATTCCAGTGGACGATTTGGACGGTATTAGTTTTACCAAATTGCCCCTGTAATATTTTATTTTTCTCCCTCATTCAACATGGACCGTTATGACGGAAGCCCGGAGTCTCTTCTAGATGTGAAGATATTTCAAATGTCTAGGGATAGATGAATATTGGTCTAACGGTTTCCAGTTCTGAGGAAGTCAAAATAATGATGCATGTCAATAAGAACCATGAACTGGAACCTGCAGACATTTAAATACCTGACGGATTTGGCAAGTTATCAATTCATTGGGCACAATATCGTCCACTTCATCTTTTAAAAGAGAAGTACGACTCTTGGAAAGATATGTGACAAAACAGTTCATTCATCTGTAGGCTACGTGCATAGCACTTTGTTTTAAGCATCAATTTGTTCACGTTCTTACCCAAACAGGGTGCAGCACCTGTTAAACTCTGTAATATCCTTCAAAACACAGGGACAACGATTCGCAACGGGATAAATATTATCAGAGGACCTTGGAGTTTGCTGAAAAACACTAGGTTTTTGGGGCTGGGATAATAACCTTCCTGCCAAGTATAAAATAACTGACGGGCAGATTTCGGACGGGACAAACATTTTGGATGTGGTGATTTGTGCTGGTGCACATAATAACATTACGTTTTACTGCGGGAGCTCAGGTATCTGGTCTTAATAGGACCATAATCCACTAGTATGTTTAGCAACGTGAAATACAATTAGACCAAATTATAAAATGGAAACTAATGTGATTTTGGAGAGCGAGTTTGAGCTACACGTTATGGGTGCGTCCCAAATTGCACCCTATTCCCTATGGGCGCCCTGGTCAAAGGTAGTGCACTATATAGAGAATAGGGTGCCATTCTCTGGTCAAAGGTAGTGCACTATATAGAGAATAGGGTGCCATTTTGGGACGCAGACTATGTGTCGCCTGTAGCGAGCCGCAGAAGTACACTACTCCGACATCAGCAGGCAGCAATATATAATGTTTGTAATTGGTGATGAGTAGGTTGGCTCCGTTTTTAAATGAGTTTTCACCCCAGAGCTTGAATATCATTGCATCTGATTAAAGAGCAGAAACTCCTTCAAACTGAGAGAGTCTGTCTGGCTGATTCAATGGAACATTTACTCTGTGTCCCAAACAATGACTTATATGTAGATATATATCTATATATACAGTGGGGAGAACAACTAGATATATACACACACTAGATGACTGGTAGGGGGTGCTGGGTTGAAGCCGTGCCTCCATCTTGGCTCTCCCCCACCATTGTGCCTCCATCTTGGCTCTCCCCCCACCATTGTGCCTCCATCTTGGCTCTCCCCCACCATTGTGCCTCCATCTTGGCTCTCCCCCACCATTGTGCCTCCATCTTGGCTCTCCCCCACCATTGTGCCTCCATCTTGGCTCTCCCCCACCATTGTAATGTCTACATTTGTTTTTGCAACGTTTACTCTATTACTGACATCTTAATGCACACTTTTAAATTATATTATGTGAACCTAAAAATGTGTAAAAACATTTTCCTTAAAAGTATACTTTTTTTTGAAAATACTAATGTTACTGTCCCCAAACTACAACAACAAAAATACTTAAAACACATGTCATTTCCTTGGAACATTTACTTTAAATACTGTAGAATTCCATTCATTCCTTCTGAGGGGTGCCAATATGGCCGACCGGTGGCTTCAAAGCCTCTGATTGGCCAATATATAGCATCAGCAATCCAGGGTTTATATACAGTGCCTTCGGAAAGTATTCAGACCCCTTGACTTCTTCCACATTTTGTTACGTTACACCCTTATTCTAAAATGGATTTAAATATTTTTATAATCCTCAGCAATCTGCACACAATACCCCATTATGAGAACGCGAAAACAGGTTTTTAGAAATGTTTTGCAAATATATTACAAATTTTAAACCAGAAATACCTTATTTACATAAGTTTTCAGACCCTTTGCTATGAGACACAAAATTGAGCTCAGGTGTATCCTGTTTCCATTGATCATCCTTGAGATGTTTCTACAACTTGATTCCTTGAGTCCACCTGTGGTAAATTAAATTAATTGGACATGATTTGGAAAGGCACCCACCTGTCTATATAAGGTCCCACAGTAGATAGTGCATGTCAGAGCAAAAACCAAGCCATGAGGTCAAACGAATTGTCCGTAGAGCTCAGAGACAGGATTGTGTCGAGGCACAGATATGGGGAAGGGTACCAAAACATTTCTGCAGCACTGAAGGTCCCCAAGAACACAGTGGCCTCCATCATTCTTGAATGGGAGAAGTTTGGAACCACCAAGACTCTTCCTAGAGCTGGCCGCCCGGCCAAACTGAGCAATCGGGGGAGAAGAGCCTTGGTCAGGGAGGTGACCAAGAACCCAATGGCCACTCGGACAGAGCTCCAGAGTTCCTCTTTGGAGATGGGAGAACCTTTCAGAAGGACAACCATCTCTGCAGCACTCCACCAATCAGGCCTTTATGGTAGAGTGGCCAGACAGAAGCCACTCCTCAGTAAAAGGCACGTGACAGCCCGCTTGGAGTTTGCCAAATGGCACCTAAAGGACTCTCAGACCAAGAGAAACAAGATTCTCTGGTCTGATGAAACCAGGATTGAACTATTTGGCCTGAATGCCAACCGTCACGTCTGGAGGAAACCTGGCACCATCCCTACGGTGAAGCATGGTGGTGGCAGCATCATGCTGTGGGGAGGTTTAACAGCGGCAGGGACTAGGAAACTAGTCAGGATCGAGGCAAAGAGGAACGGAGCAAAGTACAGAGAGATCCTTGATGAAAACCTGCTCCAGAGCGCTCAGGACCTCAGACTGGGGCGAAGTTTCACCTTCCAACAGGACAACGACCCTAAGCACACACCCAAGACAATGCAGGAGTGGCTTCGGGACAAGTCTCTGAATGTCCTTGAGTGGCCCAGCCAGAGCCCGGACTTGAACCCGATTGAACATCTCTGGAGAGACCTGAAAATAGCTGTGCAGCAACGCTCCCCATCCAACCTGACAGAGCTTGAGAGGATCTGCAGAGAAGAATGGGAGAAACTCCCCAAATACAGGTGTGCCAAGCTTGTAGCGTCATACCCAAGAAGACTCGAGGCTGTAATCGCTGCCAAAGGTGCTTCAACAAAGTACTGAGTAAAGGGTCTTTATTTTTATAAATTAGCAAAAACATATTTAAAAAAAACAGTTTTTGCTTTGTCATTATGGGGTATTGTGTGTAGATTGATGAGGGAAAAAAACAATTTAATTAATTTTAGAATAAGGCTGTAACCTAACAAAATGTGGAAAAAGTCAAGGGCTCTGAATACGTTCCGAATGCACTGTAGTACATCACTGGTCCCTAATGGTACCCTATTCCCTACATAGTGCACTACTTTCGACAAGGCGCCATAGAGCTCTGGTCATAAGTAGTGCACCATGTTGCGAATAGGGTGCCATTCGGGATACACCCTTACTGCTTACCAGGCTAATTAACTGACACAATGCAAGTGATTTCACATGGTTCAGTAAAATAAATCAGTCACTATCAGAGTATGATATTACTGCTGCTGTTGTTGTTGTTGTAAACATCAGTAATGAAGTATCCTCATAACGACGTTCATAACTTCTCCAGACAACTGGGACGTCCAGCTCCTCTCACAACTGGGTCACACTCACGCACACACACAGACACACACAGAGAGACAGAGACACACACAGACACACACAGAGAGACAGAGACACACACACACACACACACACAGACACACACAGAGAGACAGAGACACACACAGAGACACACAGAGACACACACACACAACACACACACAGAGACACACAGAGACCACACACACACACACAGAGACACACACACACAGACACAGACACACACAAGACACGACACACACACAGACCACAGAGACACACACACACAGAGAAACGACACCACACAGCACAAACACACACACAACACACACAGAGAACACCAGAGACACACACACAACACAACACAGCAGACACACACAAGACACACGAGACCCACACAACACAGAGACACAACACACAGAACAACACACACAACAGACACACACAAGACACACACACACAAGACACCACACACACACACAGACACACACAGAACAGACACACACCAACACCACACAGACACACAACACACACACAACACACACACAAACACACACACAAGACACACACCAGACACACACACCAGACACACACAGACAGCACACACAAGAGCACACACAACAGACACACAGACACCCAGACAACAACCCACACTCAGCTACATATGAGATGCTTGGATGCAGCTGCTACAGACCCTCTCTGGCCTGATTAGTCAGATTAGTTTGTTTCCTGTGGTCTCGTCCTTCCCTGAGGGTCAGAGGTTACAGCAGTAGCCTAGTATTTCATTATGTTTTAGAAGATCACTCAGGAATAACTATGTTTGTTTACAGCAATACTGCCTGAACAAACATGTCTCTCTCTCTTAAAACTAGCTGTGGACTGTCCCTTGTCCTGAGGGTCCGGAGTCATGTTTTATCAAAAACAACACATAGTAGTCTTGTCCTACTCTTGTCTTCTGTCCCCTACTGTACCCAGAGCTATAGACATATGACTGACTGGACCTGTCCATGGAGAGCTGTGTGAGGTCTGTCTTCCTACCTGTCCATGGAGAGCTGTGTGAGGTCTGTCTTCCTACCTGTCCATGGAGAGCTGTGTGAGGTCTGTCTTCCTACCTGTCCATGGAGAGCTGTGTGAGGTCTGTCTTCCTACCTGTCCATGGAGAGCTGTGTGAGGTCTGTCTTCCTACCTGTCCATGGAGAGCTGTGTAAGGTCTGTCTTCCTACCTGTCCATGGAGAGCTGTGTAAGGTCTGTCTTCCTACCTGTCCATGGAGAGCTGTGTGAGGTCTGTCTTCCTACCTGTCCATGGAGAGCTGTGTGAGGTCTGTCTTCCTACCTGTCCATGGAGAGCTGTGTAAGGTCTGTCTTCCTACCTGTCCATGGAGAGCTGTGTGAAGGTCTGTCTTCCTACCTGTCCATGGAGAGCTGTGTGAGGTCTGTCTTCCTACCTGTCCATGGAGAGCTGTGTGAGGTCGTCTTCCTACCTGTCCTGGAAGTCGGGTTTAAGGTCTGTCTTCCTACCTGTCCATGGAGAGCTTGTGTGAAGGTCTGTCTTCCTACCTGTCCATGGAGAGCTGTGTGAGGTCTGTCTTCCTACCTGTCCATGGAGAGCTGTGTGAGGTCTGTCTTCATACCTGTCCATGGAGAGCTGTGTGAGGTCTGTCTTCCTAACTGTCCATGGAGAGCTGTGTTAGGTCTGTCTTCCTACCTGTCCATGGAGAGCTGAGCCACCAGTGTAACGTCTGTGTGGTCAGGGCTGGGTTCATACTCGTAGTGAAGGAAATAGAGGTGAGTCCTGTGAACCGTGAAACGCTCCCGACGGAACTCATAACACGGATCATCTTCATCCAACTCTGACAGAGTCTTCTGGAGCTGGAGACGGAGAAGAGAGGAGAGCAGGGGAGAGGAAGGGAGGAGAGGAGAGAGGATGGGAGAGAAGGGGGGTAGAGGAGGATAGTATAGGAGAGAGAGAGAGTAGGAGAGTGAAGAGTAGGATTCTAGGATGCGTAGAGGATCTATGCTAGGCGCGCAGATGAGATGAGAGGCTTAGATCACGATGCGCTTCGAAGGTAGGAGTAATCGTCGTCTCTGCATGCATCGATGTTCTTCCTCGTCTTTTTCTGCCTTTCTACTCTTTATCTCTTTTTTCAGTCGTTTTTTCTTCGATTTCTCGTCTTTTCTTCTCTTCTGCTCGTCCTTCGCTCTGTCTAGTTCTTCCTCTACCGGCCCCTTCTCATCACTTTTTCCTCCGCTACTCTCTAGCAGGTCCCTCCCGCGGCGGCGATCATACGCGGAGCGCCGGCTCCTACCTTTCTCTCCCTCCCTCCATCTCTCCCCGTGCCAATAACAACAGTGAGACTAATGATTGTGATGTCAGTATTCACACTGGGATATAACTTGTGTGTTTGGTCTCTTTGTTGGAAGTTTTAATACAAACTGACTCAATTAGCAAAGAGATGAGAGGATCCAACACTATTACCACTGGGACTGGAGAGATCCAGCAGATAGCTCCTTCTGTCTTCTCATAGTTAATACCATATAGGATCACATCACAGGGACTGGAGAGATACAGCAGATAGCTCCTTCTGTCTTCTCATAGTTACTACCATATAGGATCACATCACAGGAGATGCTTGGAATATAGAAGCGGATCACAACTGTTAATCACTCACGGAAGTCGGGATAGAGACGTATACACAAAAACTCTGACCACTTTCACAGGTGAGCTGATAGAGACTGATCCAACTCTTAATTTACACTGCACGGGAGCTGGATAGAGACTGATCACAACTCTTATCACTTCACAGGGAGCTGATAGATACGAGTGAAGCGGGCAAGAAATGGCGTTCAGCACAACCTATTAATCGACTTCATCCACAGGGGCTGGATAAGACTGCTCACACCGCTTCATCACTTCCACAGGGAGCTGGATAGAGACGGATCACAACTATTATCACTTCACAGGGAGCTGGATAGAGACTGATCACAACTCGTATCACTTCACAGGGAGCTGGATAGAGACGGATCACAACTCTTATCACTTCACAGGGAGCTGGATAGAGACGGATCACACTATAATTTATCACTTTCACAGGTAGTCTTGATAGAGACTTTTGTTGTGGGTGTGGAGCACAACTCTTATCACTTCATCATCGATCAAGGAGCTGGATATAGAGTTTTTGAGTGTTGGCTGGACAACTCGGTTATCACTTCAACTGAGTGGGTTGTGGGTGGTGTTGTGCTGGCTAGAGACCTGATCAACAACTATTATCACTTCACAGGGAGCTGGATAGAGACTGGATTCAAACGCTTACAACTCTCACAGGGAGCTGGATAGATAACGGGTGTGTCTCTTCTGATTTTGACACAACTATTTCACTTATTATCACTCTTCACAGGGAGCTGGATAGAGACTGATCACAACTATTATCACTTCACAGGGAGCTGGATAGAGACTGATCACAACTATTATCACTTCACAGGGAGCTGGATAGAGACGGATCACTTCACAGGGAGGCTGGATCGAGGACGGATCACCTTTCACAGGAGCTGGATAGAGACGAGCAATTTTTTGTTTGTTCATCTTCACAGGGAGCGGATAGAAGACTGATCACCACAACTTATCACTTCACAGGAGCCTGGTATAGACGGATCACTCCAGGGAGCTGGAATCAGAGACGGATCACTTCACAGGGAGCTGGATAGAGACTGATCACTCACTTCACAGGTATCTGGAATAGAGACATTATCCTTCACAAGGGACTGGATAGAGACGGATCACAACTCTTATCACTTCACAGGGAGCTGGATAGAGACGGATCACAACTCTTATCACTGCACAGGGAGCTGGATAGAGACTGATCACTTCACAGGGAGCTGGATAGAGACGGATCACAACTCTTATTTGGCTGTGTACTTCTTATTTGGTCACATGGAGCTGGAAGAGACTGATCACTTCACAGGGAGCTGGATAGAGACGGATCACAACTCTTATCACTTCACAGGGAGCTGGATAGAGACGGATCACTTCACAGGGAGCTGGATAGAGACGGATCACTTCACAGGGAGCTGGATAGAGACGGATCACTTCACAGGGAGCTGGATAGAGACTGATCACTTCACAGGGAGCTGGATAGAGACTGATCACAACTCTTATCACTTCACAGGGAGCTGGATAGAGACCTGATCACACCTCTTATCACTCACAGGGAGCTGTGATAGCGAACTGATCACACCTCTTATTGCACTTCACTGGAGCCTGGATAGAGACGATCACCACATTATCACTTCAACAGGGAGCTGGATTGACGATCACAACTCTTATCACTTCAACAGGGTTGCTTGGTCAGTGTTGAGACGGATCACTTCACAGGGAGCTGGATATAGACGGATCACTTCACAGGGAGCTGGATAGAGACGGATCACTTCACAGGGAGCTGGATATAGACGGATCACTTCACAGGGAGCTTGGATGAGCAACTGATACAACCCTTATATCACTTCCCCAGGGACTGAATAGAGGACTGATCACTTCACTAGTGACTTTTTTTTTGTGTTGGTTTTGTTGTTTTTGTTGGAAGCAGGTTATGTTGTTTTTCTTGTTTTCTAGTTTTTGTTTTTCACACTCCACAGGGAAGCTTGATAGAGACCGGATTCACAAACTCTTCTCCCTTCACATTGAGCTGGCATAGAGCTGATTCACAACTCTTATCACTTCACATGGATCTGATAGAGACGGAATGCAAACTCTTTCAGCCTCTGCACAGGAGCTGGATAGCGACGGATCAAACTGCTTATCACTTCACAGGGCGGGCGGATGGAGACTGATCCCTCTTCTTCACAGGGAGCTGGATAGAACGGATCACTTTCAAACATGGGAGCTGGATAGATAACCGGATAACTTACATTTCAACAGGTAGCTGGATAGAGACCGGATCGACTTTCACATGGAGTCGGGATAGATACGTATCACATTCTTTCAACAGGGAGCTGGATATGATACTGATCACTTCAAACATGTGCTTGATAGAGAGCAGGATCACTTCACAGTTCTGTGATAGAGACTGATCATTCACAAGTAGCTGGATATAGAAAAAGAAAAACGGACTATCAATTGAAGGGAACTATCAGAGCCGTGTTTCCCCTCCCCATTTAAACTAGTCTACGCTGTGGTCCAAAATGGCACCCTATGGCCTATGGGCCCTGGTCTAAAGTAGTGCACTACTCAGGAAACTATGATGCCATTTGGGACGAAGCCTTGGCTTCAGAAGTTTTGTCCCTCCTCAAACTAATGAGCGTTCAGGCTGATTGGATTCACATGATTCTAAACAGTTTTCCATTCCTGTTGTCGTATCTATTCACTGTAGGCTGATGCCATGGCAATCATTAAACCCCTATGTCTATCTTACTCAACAGTAATAGAAAAGTCCTAGAGGTTACTGCTATGTAATATCCAACTGTCAAAAGGAAAAGTTTGAATCTGTGGAAGGCAGTTTAATTGCTCTTGAACTTATAATAAGGCTTTTGAAATCCCCTGCTGACTCAAACTGGCCAAACCTCCTGTGTGAATTCTTCTACTTTGAACTGTGCGTGTGACTGAGCAGCAGAGACACCAGACTTCCTGGAGGGGCCTTCCGCTCCGGCAATCCTGATGCTTCATTAAGCTAATCATCACTTAAAGTGGGGCTATTATCATCACTCTAACACTCACTAGCTCACTGCCAAACTTTTTGACACAATGGGGGTAAGAAGAGAAGAGAGAGAGAGAAGAGATAGAGAGAGAGAGAGAGAAGAGAGAGAGAGAGAGAGAGGAGAGAGAGAGAGAGAGCTCTCGCTCTCCTCTCTACTCTCTCTCGATCTCTCTCTCTCTCTTCCCTCTCTCTCTCTCTCTCCTAACCCTCTCTCTCTCTCGAGAGAGCGATGAGCGAGAAGCTGCCAGAGTTACGGTCCCCTTCCGTTGATGATACTGGGCACGTCCCCATGTCCCTGTGAATGTTGAATTATTATGACAACCCTTTATAACTGACCTCGAGCTGATTGTTTCACATGTTATTCTACCTCAAACTCTGCCTGTACTACCACTGACTGGAGATCAGCAGTCACCACTGAAGCTTGGTGGGTTGAATAAAGAGTCTAACCACTAGACTTGGAATCAGCCTCCCCACTAGCTTGGTGGGTTTAGAAAAGGAAGACTCACCACTTGACTGGAGATCAACAGTCACCACTGAGCTTTGGGAGCACAGCCCAGGGCCGAAACATCCAGCTTCTTCGCCCAGCCAATCAGAATGTGTTTTTCCCAACAAAAGGGCTTTAATATTACACAGACAAATACTCCCTCAGCACCCCCACCCCCCCAGACCCACCCCGACATATCCCAACAGGTGAATGAATCCTGATGTTTGGCATATTCCTTATCTTTTGCCGTTTTTACCTGCCTGATCCATTACTTATTTCTTACTTCCTGTTCTTTACCGTTAAAACTGGACACTTCACCATACTTGTCAAAACTTTATCTTAGTGAGATGAACTGGATATCAATGGTCTCCTAGCCCCCACTCGCTTTTTGAGGCGGTTTAATAGGGAAGACATGAACATTCAATTATCCTGGCAAAGACCTGGTGGACAATCCTGCAGTCCAGCATGCCAATTGCATTGCAACTCTCCCCTAAAAACTTGAGGCTCTGTGGCAATTGTTATTTGTGTGACAAAGATGAAAACATCCACACTTTACATGTTGCTTTATATTGTTTGTTCAGTATAAAATCAAGTAACCCCACAAACACGTCTGTTTTAGGAACCGTAGGAACAAGGACAGACGAGAGACAGATATCATCTATCGAAGGGTTCAACCAATCACAACACAATCACACCACAATCACAGCTCTCCATGGAGGGTGGGCTCCTTAATAAGCTTAGGATTTATTGTCTCGAATCAGGCCCACGTAGATCATACAGCCCTCTGGTTCCTAAGTCAGAGATCAAGAAGGCAATCTGGTCACGGTGTGTCAGGAGGCAAGAGCTACAACAATAATTATAAGGGGGCTTGGGCTTGGAGGGGACACAGGGGACCTAAGACATGGGTCTGGCTGGGAGGGGACACAGGGATTAGACATGGACTGGGCCTGTAGGTGAACCCAGGTAACTAGACAATGTGGACTGGGCTGGGAGGGACACAGAGGGAACTAGACAATGGAGCTGGAGGACCAGGTAACTAGACATGGAGCTGGGGAGGGACACAGGGAACTAGACAGGGCTGGGAGGTGCACAGGGAACTAACCTGGACTTGGAGGGACACATGGAACTAGACAATGGAGCGTGGGACACAGGGAACTAAATGGGATCTGGGCTTGGAGGGACTCAGGAACTAGACATGGGGCTTGAGGACACAGGAACTAGACTGGAGCTGGGAGGGACACAGGGAATATAGACATGAGCTGGGCTGGGAGGGACACATGTAACCTAGACATGGGGCTGTGGCTGGGAGGGACACAGGGAGTAGACAATGGAGTGGCTGGGAGGCGGACACAGGAAACTATACATGATGGCTTGTAGGGGTGACCGGGAAGCTAAACAATGGGGCTGGGCTGGGAGGGACACAGGGAACTAGACATGGAGCTGGGCTGGGAGGGACACAGGGAACTAGACATTAGCTGGATGGACACAGGAACTAGACATGTTGATGGGTCTGGAGCATGTGAGGGAACACAGGGATAACATGGAGCTGGGACTGGGAGGGGCACAGGAACTAGACATGGAGCTGGTCTGGGAGGGACACAGGGAATTAGACATGGAGCTGGGCTGGGAGGGACACAGGGAACTAGACATGGAGCTGGGAGGGCACAGGGAACTAGACATGGGGCTGGGAGGGATACAGGGAACTAGACATGGATCTGGGGCTGGAGGGACACAGGGAACTAGACATGGAGCTGGGCTGGGAGGGACACAGGGAACTAGACATGGGGCTGGGCTGGGAGGGACACAGGGAACTAGACATGGAGCTGGGAGGACACGTGAACTAGACTGGAGCTGGGCTGGGATGGACACGTGGAACTAGACATTGACGCGGTCTGGGAGGAGACACAAGGGAACTAAGACATGAAATATGGACTTGGGCTGGGGATGGGGTGACACAGGGTGTGAACTATACATGGTCGTTGAAGTTACACATGGAAACTATGACAATGTGGCTTTTTCTAGTTGTCTATTTTATGGGACACAGGGAACTAGACATGGAGCTGGGCTGGGAGGGACACAGGGAACTAGACATGGAGCTGGGCTGGGAGGGACACAGGGAACTAGACATGGAGCTGGGAGGGAACACAATGTAATAGACATGGTAGCTGGGAGGGACACCAGGGAAACTGAGAGCATGGAGCTGGGCTGCGGAGGGACCAAGTGAACTAGACTTGAGCTGGCTGTGAGGGAACACAGGGAACAGACATGGTGCTTGGGCTTGGGAGGGACACACAGTGAACTAGACATGATGGAGCTGCTGGGCCCCCCCCCGCTTGGGAGGGGACAACAGGGAACTAGACATGGGAGCCTGGAGGACACATAGGGAATAGACATGGGGCTGGGAGGATACATGGAACTAGACCCTGGAGCTGGAGGGACACATGGAACCTAACATTGGGCTGGGATGGACACAGGGAACTAGACATGGAGCTGGTAGGGACCGGGAAACTAGACAGGGCTGGAGGGGATACAGGGAATTGACATGGAAGCTGGGAGGACAAACCGGTACCTAGACAATTGAGCTTGGGAGGACACAGGGAACTAATAACATGGAGCTGGCTGGGGGACACGACTAGACAATGGGTCTGGGAGGGACACAAACAGGAACTAGAGACATGGGGCTGGCTGGGGGATGTGACACAGGGAACTAGACATGGGCTGGGATGGACAAACATTGAACTACTAGACTGGAGCTGGGGAGGGACACAGGGAACTAGACAAAAATGGAGCTGGGGTTCTGGTGATGAGGACCCGGGAACTAGCACAAACAATGGACTATTATATTTATCGTTTTCCCTGGCTTTGTTTGGGGGGAGGTATACAAACACCCAGCTAAGAGAACGTGACTATCAATAACAAAATTTTGCTGTGATGGACCCAGGAACCTAGACATGTGCTAGGGATGGACCCAGGGAACTCTAGACATGGAGCTGGAGGCTGGAGGGACACAGGGAACTAGACATGGAGCTGTGGCTGGGAGGGACACAGGGAACTAGACATGGGGCTGGGCTGGGAGGGACACAGGGAACTAGACATGGGGCCTGGGGCTGGGGAGGGTAAACAGGTAACTATACATGAGCTTGGGAGTTACCCGGGAACTATACATTGAGCTGGTGCTGGAGTGTACCCGGGAACTACGACCTGCATGGGGTCTGGGGCTGGGAGGGACACAGGGAACTAGACAATGGAGTTTAGGAATATTGAGCTGGGCTGGGATGGACCCAGTGAACTAGACATGGAGCTGGGCTGGTTGAGGGACACAGGAACTAGACCGTGACTGGGCCTGGGAAGTGGGACAACACCGGGAACTCTAGAACATGGGGCCTGGGAGGGAACACATGGAACTACGACATGGAGCTGGGCTGGGATGGACAAACCGGGAACTAACATTGGATGCTGGGAAGGACAAACAGGGAACTAGATACATGGGGCTGGGAGGGACACAGGGACTAGCATGGGGTGGGAGGGACACAGGGAACTGACTGAGCTGGCGGGCTGTGGGAGGGGACACAGGGACTGCCCAATGGGGCTGGGAGGGACACAGGGAACTAGACCATGGAGCTGGGCTGGGGAGGGACACAGGGAAAACATGGGGCTGGGAGGACACAGGGACTAGACATGGGCTTGTGGCTGGGCCTGGG